TGGCAGCTGGTGGTTTTCATCTGCTCTGGGCTTTTGTCTACTTTTTAAAGGCGCTATCTAGGGTGCTAAATCTTATCCCCCCCAAAATAGTGTCACCAGCTGGGATAGTTTCTTAAAAACTAATATTAAAACTCAGAGCACATTCATATCTCTATAGGGAATCACTAATCTCCCCTGTTCTGTGGCAGAGGGTGCATCTATACTGTAGAAATAATGCTGTTTGATATCACTTGATGTGTTGTTGCACCATTCTATGGAATCCTAGGATTTGTAGTTTTACAAGGTCTTTAGCCTTCCCTGCCAAATAATGCTGCTGCCTCAGAAAACTACACATCCTAGGATTCTGTAGGATGGAGCCATGACATTTAACGTGGTGTCAAATGGCATTATTTCTACAGTGTAGATGCACACGGAGTAAAAAACATATGAAAGGAGGAGGGGCATGAGGCAACACTCTGAGCATGCACAGCTTCATATATTAAACACATTTAAATCATAGCACTGTTATGGCTACAAGAATAAAATGGAGTTTGTATCTGCTGCCCCATTGCTGCATGCATTTGCTTAGAGTAATAAAGTCATCACTGCCATTGTATTTCCAATTTCTATGTATGGATGTGAAAGCTGGACAGTGAAGAAAGCTGATAGGAAAAGAAACAACTCATTTGAAATGAGGTGTTGGAGAAGAGTTCTGAGGATAATATGGAGTGCTAAAAAAACAAATCCATGGGTCCTAGAGCAAATCAAGCCTGAACTATTCCTTGAAGCCAAGATGACCAAATGGAGACTGTCATCATTTGGAGATATCATGAAAAGACATAGCTCAGTAAGAAGCACAATATGCTTGGTAAGGTACAAGGCAGTAGGAAAAGAGAAAGACCACACTATAAGTAGAAGACTTACTGGGGGCATTTCTCTAATTTCCTCCTTCCGCCTATCTGCAACTCTGCAAAACATATTGATCCTTGGGAGGCCAGAATGGCTCCCTTCTTGTTGTTCTTCCGTGGGCAGGTTAAGACATTTTTTTTTCATTCAGACAGGCATTTAAAACAAAGTTTTTAAAACATCATCCTGGGGTTGTTGTACTGTTTATGGATCTTATTGCTCTGCCCAAATAACCTGGTTTACCTCTTCCAAATTGAAGTCTAATTCAAGAGGCAGCCAGGTCCTATCACAAGGATTTTGCCACCAAAGCTCTTGGGCAAGTCCAGCCTGGATGCAGCCCGGGTCCCCAGCGTGCTTCGGCACCCTTATTTTGAAACTGGGAGCTTTCCAACTTCAAAAAATGGCTGCTGAAGCATGCCGGGGACCCGGGCTGCAGCTGGGCTGGACTTACCCGGCAGCTTCGGCAGCAAAATCCTTGTGATAGGACCCGGCTGCTTCCCAAATTAGACTTCAATTCAGAAGAGGTAAGCCACATTATTTGAGAGGTGCAATAATCTTACTTAAAGTGTACTGTTTTTAAGTGCTTTTATTATTTTTTTAAAAATGTATTCTATTTTTTAAACAAGTGCTCAGTTTTAATACTGTAATAGTTTAATTCTCTTTTAATGATCACTTGTGTATGTTGTTAATTGTACTGTGCTTTTAAATAGTAAGCTTTGAGTTCCAAGCTTTTGGGGGGAAGCAGAATAAAATAAATAAATAAATAAATATTTCATGTTGCTAGTTTATAACTCAACAGTTTTGGGTGATTTGTTGTCCTGGTATACATTCATATTTTTTCTTTACTACTGCTGCTACTACTAGTAGTAGTACTTCAATTTATTTCTGTTTCACTCTTTCCTGAGTTTGGGACTCAAAGCAGCTTACAACAAATCCAAAAACACGTTGTTAAAAAAAAATCACAAAATAAAAAAGATTAAAAAAGATTAAATAATAAAGAACCAAATTAAAACATACATCATTAGACACTCATATGCATATACGCCAGCAGAGCAATTGGCAAGATCCAGCAGATGAAACAGTGAAACAGGCATGCTGCATTCACTCATCAAATGCCTATCAAAACCAAAAAATGTTTACTTTCTGGGAAAAGAAACTAGGATGGGTGCAAATGTAAATTCTCTTGAAAGGGTGTTCCAGAGTCTGGGGGCAGCCACTGAGAAGGCCCTCTCCCATGTTTCTACCAAAAGTACCAGTGACCAGTGATGTATCCAAGTCTCAGGTCTCAAGTTGAATCTCAAGTCCCTGCAAGATACTTTCAAGCCAGGTCTCAAATCAAGTCTGAAGTCTGGGAGCCAACTTTTTGAAGAGAAAAAAAAAAAAAAAAGGAGGCAAAGTGCATTTCTTGGAGGGAACAGCAAGTGTGTTAGGCAATGGGCTTGATATGGGGTTGATGTCTGCTTAGTAGCCTGTCCCTGCTGCACATCAGAGGAGCCTTCTAAGGTTTTTCAAAAGCTTTAGAAGGACCCTTCCACCTCAAGCCCATTGCCTAATGTTTTTACTGTTCCCTTCCAAGAAATGCACCTCACACTTTGGGGCTGGGTCTTATTTGCTGCTCGAAGTGAACATCATCAGTATGTCAGTCACTAAAAATATACAAGCCTCAAGTCAAATTGAGTCAGGGGCTATGCAGACTGGTGGCTCTATAACAGTGGATTGGGGCTGCGGCAACCCCATACCATGGCCCTTTTGCCACCCTTAAAACAGCTGCAAAATGCCACTCCTTTTAGGGGTGGCAAAGGGCTGCCCTAAGAGCTGGCGCCACGACTCTTCCGTGTCCTTTTGGTGCAGCTTATCTGCATGCTGTGCCAGGAGAGCATCTTGATGCTGCACGCCGGCATCTTGACACTACAGGTGTGTGGCATCAGAATGGCATTGGGCTGGGGTTGGGGCAGCCGGCATGCGGCTGCTCCACCCCAACTCCACCCCCAGGCCAACCCTTTGGACCGGTCTGCAATGCCCCTCAGTGTCTCATTTTTGCCAAGTTAAGTCCATGTCAAGTCACTGAAGCAACTTGTGTTCGACTTAAGTCCGAGTCAATTGATTCAAGTCTACACCAATGCCTGTGAAGGAGGTGGAACAAAAAGAAGAGCCCCCTGAGAAGATCTCAGAGCGCAGGGATGATCATAAGGAAAAATACAGTCCTTCAGAAACCTGGATCTGACCTGTATTGGGTTTTACAGGACAGAACCAGTACTTTGAATTATACCCAGCAGCCACATTCTTCATGACTTAACACTGAGCCAGTTTTGCCCTTGCTGCCTTTATCTGATGCTTTCCTCTAATCTTAGTGACCTATATGGTTGATATTTGTATTTTGGTTCCTAACACCCTCGCTTTCCCCTCCCACTGCTGTTGCATCTTTTAATCTGCATGTATTTTATGTCTGTGTTTTTGTAAGCCGCTTTGGAGGGGAGGAGGGAGGAGAGCATAGGAGAAAGGGGAAATACAGATTGTGATTCATTTGTTTATTAAAAGGATTGCTATCCCACCTGTCAATATGTAATGTACCCAAGGCAAAATGACTAACAAAATCCAAACAATGATGAATTAGCATGTAACAATCATACATCTAAAGTGACAGTGAAATGAAGTAAAACGGTGTAATGATATGAACAGCTGAAATTTGGTCCCCATTTTCACTGAAATCTATTCCACTATATTTAGTTGAGCTTTGGAAAAAAAATTGCCACCATATTTACCTCATTGTAGACTTCATTTTGTACACAGTAGATCTTTCTTCTGAGCAAACATGCACAGAAACACTCTGTGAATTAATGAAGCAGGTTAATTTGTTTTTGTTGTGTGCCTTCGAGTCATTTTTGACTTATTGTGACTCTTATCATAGGGTTTTCTAGGCAAGATTTGTTCAGAGGGTTTGCTTTTGTCTTCCTCTGAGGCTGAGAGAGAGTGACTTGTCCAAGGTCATCCAATGGATTTCCATAGCTAAGCGGGCATTTGAACCCTAGTCACCAGAGTCATAGTCCATTGTTCAAAGCACTACACCATACTCTCAAAGAACTAAGAGCAGGAAAATAAATATGAACAGCAAAATGGTCAAATGGTTATGGAATCCACAACATTCAGAAAGAAGAGGTTCTTAAATTATTCCCTACTGCAAGGATGGCCCTAAAGGCCCCACTTCTGATGTCCCTGAAACTCTTATCAGTCCTTAAAAGCTCTCTACTCAGATTTTTCAGCAGGTTTTGCCCCCAAACAATGCCCTCCAAACATATGAAAACACACAAAGTTACAACAGTCTGCACAAGCACCCCAGAATCTTGCACTATACCCCAAATATATCAGTTTTCCTCTACAGTTATACTCAAAATGGTGGCTTGGTAGTGGTGTGATGTCACTTGCTGTCACCATTTTGAGAGGAATACAGAGATATTTGGGCTTGCTGAGGGGCACATGTATGATGAGTGAAAAGGTCTGCTGGGGTTAACTCCCCCCCCCCCCCCCCCAGTTGTCCAACATTATCTACTAGTTAAAACTAACTGGGAGAGGAGAGGAAAAACTCCCCCCAGGGAACAAAACAGGACTGGGCAAAATACAGCCCATCAGACCCAAAAATGCAGCCTGTCTATTCTCTGGAGCCCCCCCCCCCAAGTGAGGAGATTCCCCATTGTTTTAAACAGCTAATAATGTTTGCTGCACCTTGGCAGAGATAAGTTGACTCAATGAAATTCAGTGGAAGTCTTGACTCAATGGACTTAAGTGTTAGTGTGTGTGTGTGTGTGTGTGTGTTGTGTACCTTCAAGTTATTTCCAACTTATAGAGATTCCAAGGTGAACTTATCATGGAGTTTTCTTGACAAGTTTGTTTCAGAGGGGATTTGCCATTGCTGTCCTCTGAGACTAAGGGGGGAAGCAGACGG